AGAGAGCTGGGTATCTGTTTCATAAGCTCAACTACCGTGGGCAAAAGGGCAAGGCAGGACCCACTCTGGCCCCCCAGAGCTCCTGCAGGGCTTGTGAAGCCACACCTGTAGCCACAGAGGACAAGTGCATGCAGCAATGGGTGGAGAGGCATGCCCCTGGGTCTGGCTGAAATTCTACAACATGCACCTTGTTTTGCTGTTTGCTTCTTTGTGAGGCCTGATCGCACAATCCCCGTACTGAAGCTGTGGCCCCTTGGCTGCGCAGTGAGCCACGGGTCCCCACCATGCCCTGGTGCTGAGGTTGAAGGGTGGTGAGGCAGGAGCGTGTCCCTGAAGGGGTGACAGTAATGATGCTTGAGAGCCCATGTGAGGCTGCACTGAGTCTCAGGCTGCTGGGACGGTGACAGCAGGAACATGGAGGAGGCCCTGATGTGTGTCCAGTAAGCCTGGAGCCAGCCTTCTGCCATACCTCAGGTCCCTTCCCAGGGCTTTTTCAAAACTGACAGCCTCTGTGTGCCCCTGACATCTGTGCCCTCCAGTGGAGCCCACATGGTCTTGAAGGGAAAGACCTGCCCAAAGGAACATGATTCACCCTGCTCCACAGAGAGCCCACGGCCCCTGAGCCTGTCGGGCTGGTGACAGAGTTCTGGGCAGGCATGAGAGTGTACTGGGCACGAGCATCAGAGCTTTCCCTCTGCTGAGAAGCAGTACCCTCTGACTTGTATCTTTAGGCCATGCCAGGTGATGGGGCGGTTCCCACGCCTGGGCTTGACTGAGAGCTGGCACCTGTGCCATCTGCTAGGCTCTCAGAAGGTGAACTGGCGCTAGCTGGGCTCCCTCAGCTAGTGTTGGTCTGTAGCTATGGGAACAGATTCTGCTTCCAGCCAAGACAAGCTGTGGTTGGGTCTTGTCCCCTCAAAAACAGCGAAGCAGTTGAACCAACCAAAGGAAGATAGGGCACCACAGGAAGTCAGTCAGGGAAGGGTAGGGAACCCAAGGGGGGAAATAATGAAGTGAGTCCCCAGACTGTGGGGCGGGGAAGGGAGTGCAGGCAAGTTGGGAGTCTCCTAAGGGAAGGAGCTGGAGCTGGGAGCCTGTGAAAAAGCAAAGAGTTGGGCACGTGTGCACACCTTTAATTCCAGTACCGGGGAGGCAGAGACAGGTAGATTTCTGAGTTTGAGGCTAACCTGGCCTAGAGAGAGAGTTCCAAGTCAGGCAGGGCTACAAAGAGAAACCTTGTCTGGAAAAAACAAAAAGGAAAAATGAGCCTTGCAGTCGGCTGAGCCAAAGTCAGTGTGTACAGGCCCCAGGACAGAGCCACCTATCCGCAGGGTGGAAAACATCCAGCTGAAGACCTCGGAACACACAGGGCACTGGCAGGGTGCCCTTAGTAGTTCAGGATAATTAACCTGAACTTAAACTACACCAGCAAGCCCTGAAGGGAAAGCCCAGATGGAAGGCATCATCTCTGAGCAACTGAAGGGCAAGGGCATTTCAGTGGGCACAAACATAAAATCCACAGGGCACAATTGTGTGTAGTCTGATGAGAGATCAGAAAGGGCTGAGGGTGCAGCTCAGCAGGGAGTGTTAGCTCAGCACCCGGGAGGCCCTGGGGTCTACGACCACACTGCTAAGTAAGTCAGCAAGCACGTGAAGGATACAGAGAGATAACAGCCGTAAAGGAGAAAATTCATCACGCCAGCCATTCATATGGCCCAGGGGAAGAGGAGAGCCAGGAGCACGGAGATGGCTGGACTCACACTCACTAGGGAAGCAGAAGGGCAGGCCGAGGCCTGGAGGTGCTGAGAAGTCCCAGGTCACACTTGCAGGAACCGGTGGCATTCAGTTCAGTCAAGAACAGGGACCCAACGTGTGAGGCCCTGGGTGCCACACTCACCTGCAAAACAGTCCAGAAGCTGGCGGGGATGACAGCGACCCATCCAAAGCGACCTGCCTCCCAAGAGCAGAACCCTGGAGAAGAGAGGCTGTGTCAGCCAAGAGACTGAGAGAGAGCTGAGACAAGCAGAGCGCACGGGGAGCTAAAGACCCAGAGGGGAGGGGGGAGGATGGAACAGGAAGATGACTGGAAGGAATGATGGCTAAGTTTGTTTTGTTTTGTAGTGCTATTTTATTTTTTATTATTTTGGTTTCTCTGTGTAGTCCTGGCTGTCCTGTAGACCAGACTGTAGACCAGACAGGCCTCAAACTCATAGAGATCTGCCTGCCTCTCCCTCCCCGCCACCACGCCTGGCTTTCTATTTTAATTTTTATACCATGATTTTTATTGTATATGTGAGTGTGAGAGTGTGAGCACATGCCACAGCCTGAGTGTGAAGGTCAAAGGGCAGGCTTTAGGAGTCAGTTTTCTCTCCGAGGGATCCAAGGCTCGTGAGGCTTATGTAGCAAACGCTTTTACCCACTGCCAGCCTTGTTTGCTCTTGAGACAGGGCTTCAGATTGCCCAGGCTAGCTTTGAACTCCTAATCCTCTTGCCTATACCTCCCAAGTGCTGGGATTCAAACTTTTTAACTAGGGCAAACTTTTCAAAAATTTGATGGAAATAAAAATTCACAGCATGAGTCCCAATCATAAAGGAAGCCAAGCATAATCGTGCTTTCCTGTGATCCCAGCACTTGGTACCCCAGGCCGGGTTGTGATACACAGACCTCATTTCAAAACAGGACTGGAGGAGGTGCTGGCTCAGTTGGTAGTGTGCTTGCCTAGTTCAGTGCTCAGCACCCCACAAGCTAGGCATGCTGGGGTTCGTAGTCATGGCACTCTACAGGACGATCAGGAGTTCAAAACCGTGCTCTGTTCTATAGCCAGTTCAAAGCCAGCCAGGGATGCCAGCCCAGTGTATGGGCCCCTCCCTGCCCAGACCAGGCAACACCATCTCCTCGGCTAGAGTGCAAGAAATGTCTGTCAGGAGCTCTGGTCTGAAATTCCTGCTAAGTGTCTGCACGATGTTCCCAGCAGTCCCCAGCTTTGGGCCAGTGAGAACCTCTCCCTCCCACAGCAGCCAGGCTCCACAGAATGGCCCTCTTTTCTCAAACCGTTTCTCAGACCTCCTTGAGACCTGGCCTCTGGCCTGACCACATGCCTCTCTCCACTGCCCAGTTAGCCCCAGCTCTGAGGGACCCTTACTCAAGACACCAGCTCCTGCCTGCGCAGCTCTGTCTGGCCTTCTCAAAGCCCTGGGGGTCTCTAAAACCTCCCAGAACTCTTAGGATTTGTGTAACCCCTTCATTTCTCTTAAAGTTGGCAGCCTGACAGAGTCGAGTTATTCCTGCTGCTAAATTATTCATCTCTTCCCCTTTAAGGTGACTCTCAGGCCAGCCCAGGCCCATTTTCCCTACTTAAAATGAAGTCATCTTAAAAAATCTTTTGTCTTTAATGTTTTTATCACCCAGACCAGGCATGCGGTCTTCTAATTTTGTCAAGGAATCAGAACTTGCTGGTACGTAAGCCACACCTGGACAGGGACCCTCCACACTGTCCCTAGATCTGCACTGGCTGTTGGTTACCTTGGGCCAATAGTGACAGGAATTCAGCCGCTTAGATGGAGGGCCAGGGTCAGGGAGGAGGCCGGAGCAGCTAGAGTTTTGAGTCTCCTCCCTGTCCATAGGGACCCATCCTTCAGCACACGGCTCAGCTCAAACATCTGGGATTGAGGCCAGGTGTCTTCATGAGCCAGCGCCCTTACCCCCCACCCCAATCAGGAAACAGGAGAGGCTGAGAACTTGATTCAGAGACCTAAACCCAGAATGTGCCAAAGGGCCCCACGCTGCCACGCATACTGGCCACATCCAGCAGGGCCTTGCCAGGTCCTCCTCAGATGACCCACCAGGGCAGCTGGACCAGCCATCATTGGCTGTTTTCAGAGCCTGAGGGTGTGGCCTGGCCCATGTGGGACTTGGGCTTAAGCATGAAGCATGTCAGACAGGTTTGCACCTTAAGAATCTCGAAGGGTTCTCTCGGATCCTGTGGGAAGCAGCAAGAGTCTCCATCTTTCAGACACAGGAGCCAGAGGACATCCTCTGGATTGGGGTTCCAGAATGGGACCTGTCTCCTACCTTTGTTTGTTCTCCCAGTCCGGAGTCTCTCAAGTGACTCTGGCCTTTGTTGTTGTTGTTGTTGTTGTTGTTGTTGTTTTGTGTTTTTTTTGGGGGGGGAGGTGGTGGTCACATGGGTGCCTCAGCCTCAATTCACATCTCTTTTAGTGTGTGTGTATGTGTGTGTGGTGTGGAGAGCAAAGGACAACCCTGGCTGCCATCCTCAGGAACGTTACCCATCTCCTTCGAAACAGAGTTTCCTGTTGGCCAGGAGCTCACCAGTTAGCTGAGACTGGAGGGCCAGCAAGCCCCAGGGACGCTCTTGTCTCCTCCTCAGCAGTTCTGGGGTTGCAAACACATGCCACCATGTCTGACATTTTTACATGGGGATTTGACTTGGGCCCTTGCAAGGCGACAGCTTTACTGACTGAGCTGTCTCACCAGCCCCTTGAGTCCCTTCTTCCTGAAAGATAATGTATTCCTTGGCAACCTCCAAGCAGGTCCAGGCCTCAGCTGTTCCCAGACCAACCTCCAACTCCTCTGCCATGCGCTAGGCTGGATATGAGGGCCTCTAGCATCCCAAAAGCCATACTTTGGTTCTGAGGAGGCAAGACTGGCCAGGGCGGTTGTCACACACCCGCCCAGCAAGTCTAAGATTATGAGGCATCAGACAGCTCTGTCAGTGGAGCCTAGAGGGCAGAGACCCAGGAATAGGCCACTTCAGGGGAGTGTTCCAAGAGTAGACAACACAGCCAGAGCTTAGGGATGTGAGTGTACGGCCTTGGAAGATAGAGGGGAACCTTCGAGAAGGCACGGCATGTGTGCGAACACTACAGTCCGCTGCTCTGGGGCCCACCATTTGCCCCAGAACTGCTGGCCTTGGTTCGGGTGGAATCAACATCCAAAGAGGACTGGCAGAATATTCAGGATGTCCCTTTTCTCCGCACAGGCCTGATGGGACCACAGCAGAGTCGGCAACAGCTGCGTACCTAGGTATGCACTCAGGCGCGGACAGTGAAGAGGCCGGTCACCGTGCTTACAAAGACAGGGGCAAACGGTGTCCGGGCACAGACCTGGGGGTGGTGGCAGTGGCGGGGAAGGCATGCCCAGGGGTCCCGGAGGTGGTTGTAGGTGTGTGGGTTGTGGGTAGGGACATCACAAGCCACTCCCAGGCCTTCGTGAGAGGGGCTGAGGCTGTGAGGGGCCAGGAAGATTTAGGTCAGAATGTTCCAGGAAGGATGGAGCTGAGTGGGGTATTAACAGAAGCCGTGGGGTAACTAAGTGGGATAGGAGGTGTGGGTCCTCCTCACTGTCCCAGGAGAGCAGCTGCCAAGGTGGTGGCTGAACTGACAAAGGACCAGACCACAAACGGCCGTCAGCAGCTGGACCTGAAAGCGTGGGAAACACTCAGTGGCCGTGAGGCTCAGCTCCTCAGACCTTACGTGCCTTGGCACAGCATCCCTGCCTCTGCCTGACCCTCCTGTGGACAGTAAGAGGAAACTGTGGGCTCTGCGTTCTCAGCCAGCAGAGCCCCGGGGAAAAGGGTTATAGGTTCAGGGCTTATTCAGGGCTGTCATGGTCCCAGGGACTGGGCAGTGCCAAAGCTAGGCCTGGGCAGGAGGCCTTTGGGCCAAAACCCCTATTGTGAAGTTATCCTCAGTCTTGGGGAAGCAGTCAAGCCTGGGACCACCCCTCCATGCCAGAGTGGCCCCAGCTCCAGAGAGCCAGGGAGGTGAAGGCCTTGACTTCAGCAAAACACAGGAACAACATGATTTCTCTAGACAAAGTTCTGTCCCCTAGAGGGGCCCAGGCTCTGGGCAGCTGACATGGGTCCAATGACGAGTGGGTACTCATCTGCCTGGCCCAAAAACTTAGCCTTGTTCCAGCATCTCTAGGGTCCTAGTGGAAGACCAATAGGCTGGCAGATCCAGACTCATCTCACATAGGGTCTTGGGACGCCTAAGAAATCAGCCACTCACAGCTCTGCCGAGGGCACTTCTCATGCCAGTCTTGTGCATCTGATGGGGACAGGCCCCAGAAACAGGGTCAGATCAGGCCTGTGGCCTGGTTCTGCGGCCATGGCCATGAGCTCACACTGGCTTCTCGGGCCAGCACCCTTGGCTGAGCCTGGTGCAGCTGCATGTTCCTGGGAACGCCTAGCAATGGGCTGCTTGGGAACACTGTGGCGTCGCTATGCAGGGCTTTTCCTCCAGCTGCCAGAGAGGTTGGCCTGCTGCCCTGCTCACTGGTACAATGCTCACCCCCTCCCCAAGCACCCCAGTCTCAGCTCACGGGCCTCCGAGAGCCAGTTTTTCTGAAGAAGCTGACCCAAGGCCAGGAACATTTGTTCCTCCAGCCCCAGGCCCACTCTCATCCTGCCAGAAAGGCACAGCCCTCCGTGGCTGGGATGTCACTGGGCCCTTCTGGGCTTGGTGCTGGGAGCCTGCCCCAGCCCAGTTTCAGCTGCGGCCACATTCCTGGTGTGAGCCTAGGCCAGCCAAGGAGCTTTTTCCACATGCTGGTGCCAGCCCCAGCGGGCTCAAGGGAGGGAGAGAGGGCTGTTTCTATGGCAACTTCCCTTTTTGTTATTTCTTATTTTCTTTTTTATGGTTTCTCCAACTTTGAAGCTCTCCAGACAGTTTACAGACTGTGGAAAGGAAAAGTGCTCTTTCCCTCCTCTGCCCCCCCCCCCAGGCTTTCCCCCCCCCCCCCCCAGGCTTTCCCTCCCCAGCCCCCCAAACTTCCTTCCCCAGGCTTTCCCTCCCCCAGCCCCCAAACTTCCTTCCCCAGGCTTTCCCTCCACCCCCATACTTTCCCTCCCCCCACAGTCCCCCAGGCTTTCCCTCCCCTAGCCCACTCCAGGGAACAGGACCCCATCAGGCACCTCAAGTCTTCAGAGGCTCAACTATTTCTTAAGCATTTAGAGAAAATGAATGTTTTCTTCAAAAACAATGTAGTCAAGTATTAACAAAAAAGACTCAGCCACGTGCTCTAATTAGCAGTTGGGAGCAAGGGCCTCTTTGGCTTGACCCTGAGGGCTGTCCACACACCTGTTCTCTCCCAACACCACTGCTTGCTTCTGTCTCCAGTGTGCCTGGGTCTGAAAAGCTGATTGCTTTGCCTAAGCACTTGCTCACCCAACACGCAGTCCCAGGATGGCAGTCTGTGGCAGGCAGAATGACAGGGCAGAGATTTCCAGGGGTGGTGAAGAGCCTGGGCTCCCGTGGTCACACTAGCCTGAGGACAGCCCTGCCCATCACTTGCAGGGGAGTATGTGCTCATGATCTGTGACGTGACCACCCCTCCGTTCCTGGGCCACAGGCTGCCCACTGCCTTCAAACACCTGCGACTCCTGGCCCAGGGGGATGGCCAGTGGCCCCATGTCCCTGAAGATGACCCAGAAGCTCTAAGCTAGAGGCCACTCCTGGCCCTTGGATCCAGGGGCCCAGGAATTGGGGCTGGCCCACGTGAGCCCCACAGCTACTGATTTCAATAAAACTCTGAATACCAACTCTGAGTAGCACCTTCATGGGGTTCCTTCTAACAGGCTCTGGGCCTTCTCACTGAATTGGTTTGGAGTCCTGTGGGGCACAGGCCTGGACTTAGTGTCCCAGTAGCCTCTGAGAACCCTCACATCTGCCCCACCTACACTATTCCCAGGCCCGTGGAGGTCTAGCTGTCTGCGAACGCAAGGACGGGGGGCAACTGTGCTGTCCAGCACAGCCAGCCTCAGAGTTAGGTTCCTCTGGCACCACAGAGTGCAGAGGACCCTCTTGCCCAGTCATGCCCAGCAGGGGTAAGGAGGGAACTTGTGAGAATCTCACAGCTGCCTCTGAGGGGCACTGAGGAGGCCCAGTTCTGACTTTGTCAAAGCCCCTTGGGTCAGCCGCAGGCACCATCCACCAGATCACAGGACCCGCAATCTGCATTTATCTCCCAAACTACTTTCTGGGCGTCACTTCCCAAGTCTTCCCTCTGAACACAGCACAGCATTCTGTAGTTCCTTCCTCCTCTTCAAGATGAAACCACATTTCTGTCAAAAGAAGAACAAAGAAAACGATGTTTCAGTTTAGGAAGAAAAATGGCTGGGAATGACCAGCAGTAGCTGCCGTTTTCCAGCCTGTCAGCCGTCCTTCAGTATTTAATTCTCCAAAAGCATGCTCAGCTTTTAAAGTCAGGAAACTTGTAGTCACAGCTCCATGTGGGATGTGGCAGGCAGGGCTTCCATCGTAGCAGCTTCTCTGCGGGCGCCAGGCCTGCCCTGCCCTGGCAAGGGAGGCAGGTGGGGCCGCTTTCCCTCACAGAACCTCTGCAGACAGACATCTCTGACCTAACCACAGTCAGCAAACCTACTGGCTCATCAGGGTCTCGTGGTCCAGGCAAGACTCTGGGCTTCCCTGTGCTCGCTCCCTGATGGGGCCACTGAGGACCCAAGAGGACACCTGGATTCCTGTCCTTATCTCTGGACACCAGAGGGTACACAGCACCCAGACAGACACTACCTCTTCTGGCCAAGTATACCTGCACCAGCCGGTGCTGGCTTCCTGAGCTCTCAGTATCCTAGGACTGGCCTGGCCCCCATGTGGCCAGGACAAGGACAGGTGCAGATGCTCCTGTTTGTGACTCTGCCCCACCGAGCACCCCGCTGCCAAGTGGTCCAAGCATATGAAGTTTGAACACTTGAGAGGAGTTCCAAAGCCAGGCCAGGTATGTAATCCCAATACTTGTGAGGATCATTGTGCATTCAGGCTCAGTCTAGGCTATGTAGACAGACCCTATTCTCAAAACAGGAGCAGAAAATAAATTCAGGATGGAGAAGCTAGCTCAGTTGGAAATGTGTTTGCCTTGCAAGCAGGAAGACCCGAGTTCAGTCTCCAGAGCTCACATAAAAAATAAAAAAGGGGGCTGGAGAGATGGCTCAGAGGTTAAGAGCACTGTCTGCTCTTTCAGAGGTCCTGAGTTCAATTCCCAGCAACCACATGGTGGCTCACAACCATCTATAATGAGATCTGGTGCCCTCTTCTGACATGCAGGCAGTATAATGTATACATAATAAATAAATCTTAAAAATAAATAAATAAATAAATAAATAAATAAATAACAAATAAATAAATAAAAAGTTTTTAATCCCAGCACTTGGGAGGCAGGGGCAGGTGGATCTCTGAGTTCAGGCAGCCTGGTCTACAGAGCAAGTTCCAGGACAACCAGGGCTACACAGAGAAACCCTGTCTCAAAAAAAACCCCAAGATTAAGTGCCTCCCAAAGGGCCAGTGTGGCGCTGCACAGTTGTAACCCCAGCCAGCTCTGGTGGGGTGGTGGGTGGATCCCTGGGGCTCTGTGTCAAGCTAGGCCAGCCTACTTCCAACATCCGGGGCTAGTGAGAGCACCTGAGGAATGACACTCAAGACTCATCCCCTGACCTCCACACATGCATGCACATATGTACAGATGCAAGAGTGCAGCAGGGCAGGTCGGGGGGGGGGGGAGGGAATTGGGCGTCCAGTCTAACCAGCGCAAGAACTGCCGTTTAGCTCATAGCCCACAACCACAGGACACTGGCCTCCAGCCCATCAGCCATTCAGACCCCAGGCAGCAGCATGGTCAAGCTGACGTCGTGGGCAGCACTGAAGTCTGGGGGTCCCATCCTGAGGGTCCCTCACTATCTGGGGGTTGGGAAGGCTCACTTCAAAAGGTGAGTAAGGGTGTAGGTCCCGCACTCCGGCTCCACCCCCGTTTCTCTGAGAGTCAGAACTAGGATGGAGGCCCAACAGGAGCCCATGTCCAGGGTTTAACTTCACTGTCTGTCTTGGTCTGGGTACTAACCACAGGGAAACTTCAGCCTGCTGGCCTGACCCCAGCTCCCAGATGAGGTGACCTCACTTCTAGCCAGAGGCCTGGTAGCTCACACAATAACAGCCATAGCTCCATCCTGCCCAGGCAGGCGCCCTTCTCTGGGTGGGATGGACCAGGTGGTTGAGCTCCATTGCTTTGTGATCACCAGCACTGCCTGACAGAAATGGTGGCATCGGCATCTGCCTCCTCTCTGCCTGACAGAGGTGAGCATAGCAGAAATCTTTTTTGGACTGCCTGGAGATCCGGTGAGAGTATGACAGAGCCTCTGTGTACAAACCACCACTCCAAGCAGCTGTCCCCATGTGGGGCCTGGCAGGGGCAAGGGAGAGAGGCTGGGACAAGAGAGAACATACACCACCCTCCCCACCCCAGCACGGGAAGAAGCTGCAACTGCAGACAAAGCCTCTCTCCCTGGTGCTACCTACCCTCTAACAACCCCCTCCTCCTGGGAGGAGGCTGTTGGTCTGCTGATCACTGACTTAACAGATGAGATACTGAGCTTCAAGACAGGGCACTGTCACTTGTGTGTGATACAAAGAGAGACAGGGATGGGAGGGAGGAGAGGCATTCAAGGAAGGAAGAAGGCGGCAAGAAGACAGGGACTGAGAGAAAGAGGAAGGAGAGCTGCCTGCCCCTCAAGGCCCTAGCACCCAGAAGCACCTCAGAGAGCTGGCCCTCCGGGCCACCTGGGACACATCTTGGGTGAACAGAGGACAGCATGACCAGGACACAGCCTGGACCTAGGCTGGCCTGCCCGGTCTGTGGCACCCTCTCCCTGGGCCTGTTTGGCACAGGTGGCCATAGCTCCTCCTAGCCTCTCTCACTGGTAAGGCCAGTCACCCAGGATACCCTGAGGGAGGCCTCCCCCAGCCCCATCTACAGCCTGAGCAGGTGGCCTGGTCTTGGTGCCAGGTGGGTGTGAGGCCAGTTGTGCTTAGCTTGGACCCCTCCCAGCTGGAGAGGCTCCACGTCCAAGCCTGCCACACCGGTTCCTTCAGCCTGGCCAGCCCTGCCAGTTCACCGGGAGCCCTGACCCTGGGTAAGGTTATGGCAGCCCCAGGCTATCCCAGCAAGACCACTGCAGAGGAGAGGAGACATTTTCAGTGATGGCTGGCAGGCCCGAGCCCTTTCTGCTCAGATTTCCTCAGGGTGAGAACAGCCTCAAACAGCCTCTCACATCTGAGGGAAGAGACCCTGGGGAGGTTCAGGTGGAGTCTGGAGGCCAGGTGAGGAACGGACTGCCTACGGACCAAGGAAATGGGTCTTCAGGAACCAGACAGTGGAGGACAGCAGGACGTATGTGTGACCCACACAAACACAGTGGCTCTGTCCAGGCTCCTCTTAACACAAAATGAAGTCTATCTCTGTAAGGAGCTGACAGTTTGCCCTGTCGCCATGACCGGACACAGGAAGACTGCCATCAAAGCTGTCCATGCCTACCACAGCCTTGGTAGGATTTGGCCAGGTTGGTAGACCCCAGTCCTAAGGCCAGTTATCCACAGGCCTGTTGCCTTTTCTATCCATCCCCACCGCATTGGGATGGTGTCGCTGTCTCACCTTTAGCCAATTGGAACACAGAGGCTTTACGGCTGAGTCTGAGGGGGCCTCCCTCCTGGAGTGCCTTACACAGTGGGAGGCTAGGGAACACAGGAGGCCAGACCCACCCTGGGCTCCCTGAAACCTTGGCCCTGAGTCAAGAACACCAGTGAAGGGCCCAAGCATAGAGTGGTAGCACCCCCCTACTGGAAGGGGATCCCAGGCCGGAGACGGAGATGGGGGTGGGGGTGGACCAGCTCAGGGCACCCTGTTCCCAGCTGTCAGCCAGAAGTGCTCCTCGGATAACCGGGAATCACACCCTAACCCAGCCGTTGCCCCCACTCCTGTCTAAGGACCCAGGACCACCTCCCAGGACCCCACTAAACCTCCGTGGGGGCCTCGGCAACTCTGAGGCCCATCTGGTCTTCCAATTGTTTCCCAAGACAGTTCTTTGTGAGTCCCTCGGAGAACCAATTTCTGTGGGGGGTCTTTTTTTGCTAGTCAGGTGTTAGTACAAAGCCCCGCAGGCCTGGCGTGGGATCTCAGAGCCTGTTTCCAACAAGTGGTCTCTGGCCCTGGGTTGGGAGCAGGGCAGTGAAAAGGAGATCCAGAAAGCTGGGGCCCGGACCTGGCTATGAGCTGGGTAGAGCTATACACTGCTCAGGGGACAGCTGTAGCTGCATAGTCACTGGTCCGTGGCTTGTGCCTCTGCAGGAGCCTTCCAGGCACAAGCCACGGACCAGTCCTGGGATCCTGTTGGTTTGGGTGGACCGGAGGCTTTGGAGCTTCACTGGAGGCTCAGAGACGTGACGAGGGAAGGCTGCAGGGGCTTGCTTAAGGCGACCAGCTAACACACACCCCACAGCAGGGTTGGCCAGAACCTTCGCAAAAGGGCGCGACCCTTTCTACCCAGATCGCGAACGCGCGCTCCGAGGCCGGCGAAGAGAAGCCGACTCCGGCCCGGGGTCCCTGGGGCCCAACGCTGCAGGAAGTCGGGTTGCGCGCGAGGCGGCGCCGGGCTGGTCCCGCAGGGCCGAGCTCCCTCCTGGCAGCCGGAAGCCCCGGGCCCAGCCCGTCGGAATCCGGGGCGGGCGGGGGAAGGGAAGCGCGGGCGGGCCGCAGGGCGAGGCGGAGGCCGCGCGGCCGGTGGGCGGCGCCTGCCGGTCGGAGAGGCGACCCGGGGCTTCGGGAGATGCTGGGACTGCGGTCAGGCAGCCGGTCGCGCTTCCCCGCAGCAGACGCCTCCGAGCTCCGCTCACCCTGGGCCGGCAGGAGCCTGGCCGAGCTTCGGTCCACGCCGCCCCCGCCGGTCGGAAGGAGCGGGAATGTGGGAAGTTGAAGGGCGCGGCGGTTCCAGGGCAGAATCTCTGTGCCGCGCCCTTCCCGCCCCCGGGAGGTGTGTTGCCGGTGGCCGCGGGAAGGCAGAAGCCCGTCCTGTGGGTGAACGCCGCCCTGGAGCGGCCATGGACCCCACGGGGCTTTTCGTCCTTGACTCCGGGTGGAAGACAACCCCTTGTCTGTCAGACCTTGGGCTGCGAGTTCAGGCCTTTGTGCAGGCTGTATCCCGACCCAAGGCCACCAAGCACTGTTAATGGGGAATTGTAGCTGGGCTGCCTTACTCAGCCGTTGGTGGCCTCGTTGGTGGCCTCGGTGACGTGGGACGCAGGGGAAACGCGTGGGGAAGCCGATGGTGGGCAGCCCCTCAGTCCAGCAGATCGCCACCTCCAGTATTTGATGGGGCAACTTCCTCAGCCACCAAGCTTCCTACTGGAGCACTTAACTCCGCGACAGGAAACTGAGGTGTCGACTGCATGTCCATCCGGTATAGGCCTCAGGGTGACGCTGGACCCCAGGGTCTTGCAGCAGGGATCCATGAACCCCGGGCACAGGCAGGAGCCCCGTGTGTCCAAAGCAAAAGAGGAGCACAGCACACAGAACCTCCCTCTGAGCCCCACGGCCTGGCCATACCAGATGCCCTGGGCCCTGTTGCCCTGCCTGAAGTGGGTCAAATTCATCTGCCTCAGGGCCTCTCCCCAAGGGTAGGGGTTGGCACAGAAGACTGCCCTAGGGCCTGCAGATGCCCTTGGTCCCTTCCCTACTATACAGCCCTGCACACGCACACACAGTGCGCACGTACGCAGGCTAGAACAAGTACCAAGGCCGTGAGGCCTCTGTATCCACCACAGATGAGGGCCCTAGGTTTGTAGCCTCACAGCCATCTTCCTCACCCACCTCATGTTGGTAGTAACAGCCCTGGGCAGAAGGACGGGGTGAAGATGCCCCATGTTTCCCCTCTCTGGTGACAGTCACCACTTCCTCAAGGGCCTAGGACAGCTAGCTCCCTCCCAGCTCACCAAGCAAGTAGTGGACCTGAGGAGATGCTGCATCAGGGTCCACTTGCAGGAGGAGCCAGAGATGCTTCTGGGAGAGACTGCCAGCTGGCTTCGGATACTTGAAATCCTTCAGAGTCAGGACTGGGTTGACAGGAAGTGAGCAGAGGATAAGCACTGGGCAGTTTGCAAGGGCCAGCACGGGACACGGGAAACAGGGGAAACCTGCATTGCCTGAGTGGGACTGGGCTAGTGTCGTGGGTCCAGCCAAACCAGCCAGTGCCTTTTAGCTGTGGAACTGAGCACATGGCCCCTACATTTGAGAGCTGCCGTGGAACAGCTACGGGGGGCCTGGGGGGACCCCTTCCAGTATGTCTCTGCTGGAGACTTTGGGAAGGGTCCACACTTTCATTTCCTGGCTTCCTTGGATGGGTTGTCACTGTTTTCCCAGGCAGACCTTTGCCCATCAAGATCAGTGTTAGCCGGAGCCTGGACCCAACTTCCTGCCATTGAGGAATATCAGGCCTATAGTCAGAAAGAAGGCCCACCCCACGCTGGCTGGACCCGTGGCCCAGCACAGGATGCCATGAAGACAAGTCAGGCTAGCCAACGTCTGCCTGTGCCCACCTGCAGCAGGCCACCTGTTCCAGGTTGGTGCCCCTGATGCCAAGACTCCTACCAGTCTGGCACAGGCCTGATCACAGATGGCCTTATGCGTCGCCAAGACCATGGGGTGCAGGAGCAAACGGGCATCCAGGCCTCAAAACTCCCCATCCTCACTGCCTCCCCAGGGTCGCCTGGTGTGTGCCTGTGATGGGAGGGTGAGTTTTGGCCGTCTACGAGGAGGGCTGGGAGCCCAGCAAGAAGCCAGCTACACACAGCATCTTGAGTCACAACTCTGCCCTTTGCTTTTGGAGTCTTCTCCTAGGTGATGGACTCCAGAAGTTCCTACACCCTGTTCACCAAAAACAGGACCAAAAACTCCTGCAGAGCAGGCAGTCTTTCTTAGACCTGTATGGTGGGGTCAGAAAGAAGTCCAACCCCAGGACAGGCAGGGGAGCTTCAGAGCAGGTGCCAGAAAGGTATAAGGGTGGCAGGTCTAGGCCAGGGTCTGGGCCGGATGGCCTGAGGGAGCGCGGCTCTCCTCTAGTCCATATTTGAAGAGTAGGGATAGTTTTCTTTGTGCGTGGGGACATGTGGAAGGCACAGGCCATCACCACAGAGGGAATAAGCAGGGCCGGCCAGACCAGTATTAGAGCAGGACATGGGCTTAGGCTTTCCATGGAAGAAGCCTGGGGTCTGTCTTCCCAGATAACGGCTTGTTTGCTTGGCTTGACTCTAGGGCGGTATGCAGGGGCCAGAAGACAACTAGGAACAAGTGAGGTGAGGGTGGGCAAGGCAGTGTGTGACTACTGTTGACTGAGTAGAAATGAAAATGAGGGTGACGGGGCAGAACAGGGACAGGAGGCGGCACCACCTGAGAGCTGCCGACCCTACTCAGCGATCCTCCAGGCCTGGAGAAACTTGGAAACAGGTGCCAGCTGAGAAGTGGGGTTTCAAGAGTCTGGAGGGGCAGCTGTGTCCATACAGTCGCCCTGGCTGATGTAGGAGGCCTGAGCAGACCCCAGGCCTCCCCACCTCAACCCTTTCAGGGGTCCTGGTTCCCTTGGATGTGCTCTGGTCTAGGGTTAACTATAGTCCTCTAAGTTCACACCCAGAGGTGGAGCTAGAGCAACCCTGGAGACAGGAGGCAGGTCTGGAGCCTTGGGGAAAGCAGATTTGGGGGCTGAGGTCCCCAAGCTCAGGGCCAGCCACATGCTTTCCCCTGCCTCTGGCCTACAGCTTTTGCTGCCAAGGTTTTCCCCAAGCAGGGTTTCCTCTGCCTGTATGCACTTCTCATGCATCCATCCCACCAGATAGAGACGAGACGGTTCATGGTTCCACCATCCGCAGTCAAGAACTGACGTGCAGACCCCAGCCTGAGTGGGCCCTTGGTACCCAGCACACTTCCCTCCGCTCATGCCCAGGCTGCCAGGACCTCAGTGAAGAGATGAGCTGGCCCGTCCACTCTTTCCGTCCTCTTGAGACAGGGTTCAAAAGACAGACTAGGCTGTTCTGGAACTGCGCAGACCTGCCTGGCCTCGGAGCTGTGGCAGTTGCACCCTGCCGGCCGCCCGAATGTGGAGTTACAGATGTGAAGCCCAGCTAGTATGCTAAGACTTCTCCAGGCTAAGCCTGCTTCTGATCCTTTCTGCAGCTCCCAGATCAGGCAGAAGGTAAGGCTCTCCCCTTCTGGGTCTCTGGGGCAGAGACAGGCAGAGCTGTGGTGCTGGTCCTGTGCATGCCACAGGCTCCTGGGGGAAGAGCTGCAGACCTTGGGCCACAGGGCTCTGGCTCGATGAAGGTAACGGAGGTGGGGAGGGGCGAAGCGCTGGGTCTGCAATGCTGTGACTGTTCTCCATAGAAGACACAGGTGCGATTTGGGGGGTGAGGTGTGGCCCAGGGAGTTCTGATCCAGCAGACCCTTCGGAAGCCCTGCCTAAAAGGGCTATGCCCGGACCCCCTGTCCAGCACTGCCCAAGGTGCTGCCCAAAAGGTGACTGAGGCCTAGTAACACAGCTGAATGACCACCAGCCCCAGGCCTAACCACTTCCTGAGGCCCTGACTGCATGCACAGGGGCTGCGGGCGCCTGTGGAACTCTCAAAGTCCTTTATTGTACAATGTCATCTGTTTCCGGGGTGGGGTGGGTCGGGGGCAAAAGGACTAACAGGTACACAGAGAAATAGATAAATATGCCAAGCTTTTTCTTTTTTCCTTTTTTAAATCAGGCATTTATAAACAAGAAAGCATACATTAATTACATAAAAATAGCTCTCGAGTAGCAGGGTAGGCCAGCATATTGTCATTAGCAGCAGCATAAGACTGGAGGGTGCAGGGGCTCGGGCAGCTATGAAAATGTCATTTGAGACTTTTGACTTAAAGCAAGAGCCCCTCCCCCTCATCCCTGCAGTGGGCATGAGGGAAGGGGGCTGGGGGACACCTGCGCAGGGGCTGGGAATCGTGGGTAGCCATGGGGAACACCGCATGGGAAACGCCACACGACGCTTCTGTCCCCTCTGGCAGATGAGCAATTCTTCTTCAGTTAAAAACAACCCAGAAAACAAGACAACCAGCAGGTAAGAAAAGTTTCTGGAAAAGGAATCACCATATACATGTATAATACAGCGGTGTGAAATGGAAAAAAGTATTTACATTTGAGTTGTTTTTACATTGGCTAGTCTGTATGAAAAGCAGGGTGTCGTGGGTAGGAGTTAGCTGCTCACCAGTGAGTGTTATTGCTGTTGGTTTTTCCCTTCGTTAAAAATCTTTCAGGATAGAAATAATGAGTAAACTGGTAAAGGGTTTAACATACAGGGAGCGTCAACAGCCAACATGATGGAAACTCTCTCCTCCCGTTCTCTAAAAAGAAACCTGCGGACTCCCTAACTAGGAGACAGGCATGCAGTGCCCGGCTGCCCTCAGTCCACGGCGGGGCCGAGGCAAGCAGGGCTACCTTCCACAGCAGCTGCACAAAATACTCACTGCTTTGCCAGCCTCGACGGCCCGGGGCCCAGGCCTCAGGCAGAAGCAGCAGATGACCTAGACTCTAGGTCCTGCCGATCCCAGAGCACAAGCTACTGGTCAACGTGAGCCTGTGCTCCTATCACCCTGGCCTTCAAGGGCCACTCACAGGAATCGGGGAGGGGGTGGGAACAGGGATCCAGGACAACTAAGGAGATGATACTCCCTTCCCAGAACCAAGCCGTTCTGGCATGTGGGGAAGAGTTCCTACAGACACAGCACTTCCTTCCCACACTGGGGCCAGTGCTGGACCCAGGCCAGGGAACCTACGGAGAGGAGCGGCTCTGCCGAGAGGAGAACCAAGGCTCAGAGGGCCCAAACCACTGTGACCTCCTACTAGGCAACAGGACAGCCACACAGAAGCACACCAACACACTTAAAGCTTTGCTCCAACTAAATCATTTAGTTTTCCTTGAAGAAATGACTGAAAAACACAACTCTAGAAAAACAAGGCTGAAAACAGCATTCTTCGTGTTGCGTAATAAAACTGACCCTTTAGAGACACGGTCATAATGCCCACGGGTGGGTCTCGCTATGGAGATGTGAAATCCATGCATACAAGTTTCATAACTGAGAGAGGAAAAAAAGCCAAAGAAAAAACTCCAAATAAACGCTGCGTATACATGATGTCCCTTTTGCATTGCACTTCAGAAGGGGGACCAGAAGCAGCCCAGCCCCCCTCAGTAAACCAAGGGCAGACCCTGCAGACAACCTCGGCACCGAGTGTCAGGGCTTAGCAGTCTCCAGTTGCAGGCAACAGTCCTTGAGGTCGTTTGCACCTGCACAAGCCATCTCCACCTCCCCTCAGCTCATGGCTGCCCTGGTAGGTAGGACTAGAGCGGAGGGCTTGTGTATGATCTTCTCGTGTGAATAGACACAATCGGAGGATGGGTGGTGGCTTCTTGTCTACTGGGAAATCATTTTTCAAGCTTGGGCATAAGAAACCTTACACAATTTGCATAAACAGTTAAGAGTAAACGAGATTATTTGGAATAAATGCAAGTTAACGTGTTTTGACAGTGGCAGATTCAATCGCTACTGAAGACGGTATTTTGGGGGTAAAAAGACAAGTCAGGGTTTGCTGTACAAGATGCTGGAAGGCACAGAACGACCCCCAAGTTCAGTCTCTGCGGTTTCATTTTCTTGTGATTCCCTTGTTCAACCAAGCACCAGAGGGGATTTCTAAGCACTTGAGCACTTAGGGTTTGAACTGCTCTAGAAATCGGTACAAACCTCAGTTAACGGGGAGTAAAAAGATAAGGGGAGGTTCTGACAAAGTGCAGTTCTAAATACATGTTTAAATGAACAACAACAACAACAACAAAACAAAACAAAAAAAAAAAAAAGAAAGAAAAGAAAGAAAAGAAAAAAAGAAAAGAAAGAAGGAAAAAGTGATAATGCTGTTTCTGTTCCAATGCCGCAGCCCCAGCCCCCGGCAGAGGGCCTCCGGCCGCGCTGAAGGTGCCGTGGCCAAGCAGCACGTGGGCGGCGCGTAGGACACACAACGACACTGGACCATGGCCGCCGCCTGGCAACAGGTCAGCCCCTCACGATGTAGGTGGGCATCCAGGGGCCCAGAGAGACTGTGGCTCAGGCCTGAGCCTCCGGCGCCTGCAGGGCAGGGGTAGTGGTGATGGCAGTGGGCGGGGCAGCGGCAGTAAGGCGGGCAGTGTTGGGGCTCATCTCGCACGCGGCGCTGTCCCTGCTCTTCCTGGCAGCAGCAGGAAGACTGGGGTCCTTGTTGCTGAAAAAATAGACTCTGAAGAAAACCCCTGCTGTCCTCTTGTGGCCGCGGGCACAGATGAGCGGTGATGGCTTCCCAGGACGGCGGTGGGTGGGTGCCACCCCACCACAGTGGGTGTCCAGATGGCGTCACGTGTAGGGGCCTTTTACAGTCAGTCATTAAAAAACATGTTGGTTCTCTGAATATCAAGTCTCCTTACTGGTTTAAATAGCTTATAACAAAAGTGTAAATGTTAGACTGTTCTAGCAAGCAGAGGACCAGCTCCAAGCCACACAGCCGGTCTCAGCTCTGGCTGCGGCTGGGGACATGGCTTGCCCACTTGAACTTGGCCAGTAGAAAATTTTGCAGTGGATTCCAAAAGTATGTGGTTACAAACACTCGCTTGGTAATAGGCACAGTAGAGACGTTGTGCTGTGTGGCTGCAGAGGCATGGGCCGGGGCTGCAGGGCCACGTACCCGCCGCCCTCTGCGCACGCATGGAGGTCCATGGGGCAGTGGCAGGCACTGACCAGGCTAGGGATCCAGCTCGGCGTTGCCCTCACCCCCCGGATTCTCAGGCCGTGGCCGAGGCCACAGCTGCTCCTGAAGCTCTTTCACCACCTTCTCCAGGTGCTCGCGGGCCTCACGCTCCCTCAGCAGGTCAGCCCGGAGCTGCTCGCGGTCGGCCTCCGCGTGCTGCAGCTTTGCCTGCAGGTCCTCAATCTGAAAGGGATGCTGTGGTCAGGAGTGCCAAAAGCCAGCACGTGCCGCTCAAGCCCTGCCAAGTCCCTTCTATTCGGCCCTCAGTGCTATGTCTGCCCCTCTTCCACCCCCACTTGCACAGGGTGACCCAGACGCCCAGTGCTGCTAGAAGTGTGGGCTCCACTTCCACCCTACCCTTCTCAAGTCCCCAGGAGGGAACCAGACAGCACTGCAAATGTGGACAGCCCTCCCTGTCTCCCCAAGGGAGGAAAGCCTCTGTTCTGGGCAGTAATGGCCCTTGGGGGGCTGGTGGAGTACCCATGGCTAGGGAAGACAGGGCCCAGCGCCAGGCCCAGTCTGCTGGCCCCGGTGTGGCCCATCAATCAGCCTGAAATGGTTAAACTGAGGGCCTTGGGTTTGTAAGAGCAGCAATTCTCAGGCAACCCACTCCCGTACCTGGGCTGAGTACTTGGCACGCAGGCGGCCGGCCTCACAGCCCTTGTCACACACCCGGACCTGCCGCGCCTGCTCAAGCTCTCTCTTCAGGCGCACCCGTGATTCGTTGGCCTCTTTCATCTTTTTCTCATTTTCAGCTCGGAGCCTCTCAATCTCTTTCCTCAAACTGCGCTTGGCCTCTGTGGCTTCTCGTAGTTTCTCCTTCTTGGCCACACGCAAGAACTCTAGCTCCTGGAAGGACATGTAGCCAACAGGTTCCAGGCGTTATTAGCAGCCCGTGCCCTCCTGCCCACCCTGCACCCACAGGCGTGCTGGCTGCTGGCGTCCTCCCCGACCAGGCCCAGCAGAACATCTTCCTAGCCGCTGTTGTCTGCCCCGCCCGTCAAGGTTGCAGCCCAGCCTCCAAGGTGTGCCTGCCTTGTCTCCATGGGAAAGGGGGATACCAGTCTCAGATGCTGCCCCTGAGGCCTACAGCTGCCCCTAGAGCCAGATGGAACCGTTCACTTCTGTTCTTCTCATGCCCTTCCCCCACTTGTTAGAATGCACTGTGACACCCGCCCCCAGGAACAGTCATGTGGGAAATCACACCTCCACCCCCAGTGGGGGCAAAGAAGGATGCAGGGTGAGTAAGACTCACTCTGAGGAGAACATCTGAAATCCTGCAGCCCGAGGATTGACAGGGTTGTGTTGTGCTAAAGCCCACGCCTGAGGCTGCCCCTGGAGCTGCCAGACTCAGGCTGAAGTGTGAATTCAACGGAGGCTGAGTCTGCAGCAAAGCCTTTCTGCTGAGCCCCGGTGAAGACCCAGGGCTGAGCTGCTCACTCTCCCTGGGCTGCCTGGGAACTGAGCCTCCCTTCCTCATGTCAGAGAACCAAAACAGCATGAAGAGAAGGTGCGAGAGGAAAGGCTACAGTCTAGGAAGCAGTGAGTGGGAACGCACGCAGCCAGTGCAGTGTCCTCGCACACCTCCTGGGTCTGCGCTCCCACAGGCTTTTGGCTCCGCCCAGAGGCCTGCTGCCATGTCCCTTTCGGAGACAAAGCTGCCGAAGCCATCCCCACTTGTGCTCCATAGGCAGAGCACAAGTCTTGCCGGTGGGGAAATAAAGCATCCGCCCAGAGGGAGGAGGGGTGCTGGCACAGCCACTCCCCACTCAACGTTACCCCTCTGGCCAAACAGCATGCCATTTCTTTCAGTGAGACCCCTACACAGGGGGAGCTGAGGCCGGGACCACGGCAGGAGCCTTCCTGGACTTCAAAGTACCTCACAGGGCACAGGGCTGGGCCCTCAGGAGGATGGGGGGGGGGGGGGGGGACCCCAAGGCTCCCCAAGAGGGCATGGGCAGCCAGAAAGGGAGGCTGTCTCCTGTCCCGGTGCTACTCGGTGCCCACCTTACCTGGTGCAGGCTGCGCTTAGCCTGTAGGGCTGCGGTCAGCTTCTCCTCTTGTTTCACGCGCATTTTGACCACCTCATGCAGGAATTTCTCTTTGGCTTCCTTGGTGTCCAGGCCGCCCTCCAGGGCTTGCCGCAGGTGCTCCAACTCTGCCTCCAGCCCACTTGGGGCATCGGCATGGGCTGCAGCATCAGGGGCAACCACTGGCGGGGCATGCATGCCTGGGGAGCTGAGATCCTTGGCAGAGCTGGACGAGGTAAAGGACGGAGAGGACAGCGAGGACAGGGAGGAGGTGACTGAGGAGACAGAGAAACCAGAGCATTAGGCACCCGAGCACACTGTCTGGTCATATCAAACGGGAGCCCCTCACCCCACCTCTCGTACTGACTCCCAAAGGGAGCAGAGTCCAATTCGTACTTACATTCCTCTCTGCTTTCAACTTCGACCTCAGCCTCAGAATCCTTGTCTTCCTCTGGGGCAGCCACAGGTGCCAGCATGTCTGGGGCTCCTGGTGTTTCCATGGTCAGCTTCCGCTTCCGTGGCTGGATACAAGTGGTAAGAGGTTCTGGCGCCCGGGAGACCACGGTGGTGCATGGCGGACTGCTCACCACCTTTGGCTGGGTTGGTGGTGCCAGGGCCACGTTGGGGGCCACAGCTGTGTCAAAGCCCTTGTAGGAGTAAAAGCTGTGGGAAGCACAGACTGCTTAGCCAGGCCACACCTACCTCACAGAGCCCTGTATGAGCTGAGGAGTGGGCCCTGCTCAATCGGACAGGGCACAGGGCGCATCTTCTCTCCCAACTCTAAGGCAGAAGGACAAGGTTCCAGTGACTGAGAACCACAGATTTCCCCAAAGGCTGCATAGGATGGCACACAGCTAGACCTTCATGTCCACAGAAAGCCCCCCCCCCCCCCCATTCCTCCCCTTCTTGCATGATCTCTTATGCAACCCTGGCTGGCTTGGAATTTGCTACACATTCCAGGCTGGTCTCAAATTCACAGAGATTCACTTGCCTCTGCCTCCTGAATGTTAAGATTAAAGATGTGGACCACCAGGCCCTGCTGGGAAGTTAGCTCTTAATAGACACACAGCCGGGTCTGTAAACTCAGTAACGTCACCTAAGACTTCAAAGTTCTAGACAGTTTGTCGGGGGACTAAGAGCACCAACAAGGCCTGCTGCACTGCAGTCCTCACCTGTCCCGAATCAGGGCTGGAAGGTGTGGGGAGCTCTCTTTCTCACTTGCTGACACTGCAGGAGACCAGGGCCGGAAGGCAGAAAGGCGCTGGCGAGGGTGAGTGCAGCCAAGGCTCTGTCAAGAAAATCCCCTTTGTAAGTGACAATGGAAAAACAGGCCACTTTGTGTCCCTGAGGCCAAGTAGAGCCACAGACTTGGCTCCAAGAAGGCTCTGGCCACCCTCCCCAAAGACCCCAGACAGGTTTCCACATAGCACCTTATTGGAGGAACCAGCCAAGGTCCGCAGCCAAGTGGACTGCTTGTCCTTCTCAGAAGACGCGGGGGACTGTGAGGAAGTGTCGTCTGTCTTGGGCCTTACGGAAGCTGGGGGCTCTGAGACCTGTGACCAACAACAAAAGGTCCTGCTGGGATCCCTGGGCCCAGGGAGGGCTGGTCCTCCTACTAGCCCCTTGATAGCAAGCTCCCCACTGGGTCATCCTAACTCCACAGCTATGAAGGAGTTCCGAAGACCCTTCACAGACCCACGTCCAGAGGCAGGAACACAGTGCACCACGGGCCCTGTGCAGAAAGGTAAGGCTGACGTCCCAAGGGGCAAGGGCATCACGTGAGAATAGAAGGGCACTGTGCTGCTGCGGGCTGCTATGAGGTGACCTCACTCACAGCTGCAGCGGCCTCTGTGTCGACGGCCAAGACCCATTCTGGGTCCACAGCGCTCTGACCCTTCAGTTCTTTGCCTTCAGTCCACACTACTTCCTCAGAACACAGATATGCTGCTGGGAAGGCTAGACAGGACCAGCAGCAACCACAGGCTCGAGTGTGACCCAATAAGCAGCCATGCTCAAGCTCAGAGGGAACCTGGCAGTGCTGCCGTCTAGGTGGCCTCTGTCACTGCTTCATTACAGAGTACTACAGTTAGCCCTCTCCAGAGGAAGGAAACATTCAACTGGAAGGCTCATGACATGGAACAGAACAGCTTTACCAGACATCACCACGCTGCCCTTGCTATCCAGAGCCTGTAGGAGCCACCCAGCACCAGCTGTGGCGGGCTCTGGCTGATAGGCAGACACCCGAGCTAGTTTGTACGTGAAAGCCGGTGGCCCTCCACCTAAACGTCACCTCCTCAGGGACATTCCATCTGCAAGACAATCACAGCATGGGCTTCTCCCAGAGTAGAGATGCCTACAGGAGTTAAGTTTAGCTAAGCTAAGCTCTTATCCCCCAGCTAGGGCCTAAGTAAATGACAGGGACTGCAGGGCAGTAGGACCAACAGACACACCAGGATTTACATCTTGGTCTCATGCACAGCTTCTTCCTTAGGCACAAGTTACTTTGGGGGTGATGAGAGGGATGCAGCCAAAGTGAGGTCTCTGACCTCCAGCTGGGGCCTCAGGCATACAAAAGAACAGGGTTCTCCCCCACAATACTTGAGGGAGTACTCTATAATAGCCTGGCCTCGCCTCTACGGAAGAGGCACTGAGGAAGGCCACCTTGATGGGTTTCCTACCGTGAAATCTGGGCAGGAGGAATGATCAGGCCTTCCCAAAGGCCCAGTAGTGTGGCGTGCACGTGCTGGATCCGTACCTAGGAGAGCTGCTGCCTTTCCAAGAATAAGCAAGTACTGGGGGCCAGCAGGGCAAGAAGCCCCTCCACCCCTAGTGCTCAGAAAGGGGCCTGTGGCAGGGGAACCATTGCAGGGACCACACTGGTGGTGTTCTCCAAGAGCAACTACCTAAGGGACGAGCAGTACTGCTCCTAGGGCACTTCCAAAGATAACTGAAGAGGCTCGGCGGGGGTGCGTGACACGGAAACCAATCAGGGCTGGAGCTTTCTGAAGGAACCAAGTGCCATGGTGTCATTGGCCCGGTCAGCAGAGGCTGCATATGCTCCCAGTAGGGGTAGACACCCAGGGTGCCAGGTGGGGCAGAAGAACCATTTCCGGAATTGCAAGGCTCCCTCGCACAGTGAAGGAAGAAGGGGTTGCACACCAGGGTGGGGCTTCCTGTTTGAGTAGACACCAAAGCAGGTGTACAAAGTGAGCTCCATTCTCTCACTGACAAAGCCACAAGTCTAGTCTGGCGCTGACTTGAAAACTCCAGACCTTGCGGGTAGGGACCATGAGCCACCTCACAAGCCAGACTGTGAGCCAGCAGAATGCTGGAGAGTAAGGCCACTGGGTGAGGCTGCTTCCTGTGCAGAAGAGCCATGGGGGCGGGGGGTGGGGTGGGGGGGGGCAGGGTGCTAGATCACTGCACTGCGGTCAGAGTCTGCTAAGGCAACCCAGCTGTTTCACACAGGGGACGGGAAGGCCCTGCAGGTAGCTGGAACTATCTCCTGAGACTTTCATAGAAAGCTCAAAGGCAAGCAGAACTCTTACAGAACCAGGAAGTGTTAAAACAAAACGATGGCAGGAATTCCCCTTAGACACCAAGCTAACAGCAAGTTGCAAAAGTGAGGATGAAGCTGAAGAGCTTTTGTTAAGCAATGGGACCCTGAGAAGGGCCACCCGGAGAGGTGTCCTACTTCACAAAGGTGCAGAGACAGGGCTTTCTTAGGCCTGGGCTATCCCTGTCTGCAGCAGGAACACCAGGGCCCCTAGTCATCAGCCAACAGTCAGGGACCATAGTTTCCCCTCCAGGAGGGCTAGTTACCACCAGTCTGCTACCTCTGGTGTCTGACCCTTCCTGGGGCTTGAGAAACAGCCCACAGTGCCTACAAACCCTCAGGGGAGGGGTTCTGGGCCCACACCCTAAGGCCAGTCCAAAACAGGTCAACAAGAGGCAGCCCTGCTCCCAAAAGTCCGATACCAAGCCGCTATTATCAGGCTGTATCAGGGCGTAGCTGGCTGGGCTGGCCACGGCAGTGCCCTGTGGCTACTTCCTCTCTGGAGCTTCAGACAGTGGATGTTTGTTTCCCCACACTGCAAGGCAAAGACACACTGAGAACAGGTGCCACTGAGTGTGTGCCTCTGCACCTGTGCAGGAAAGGCAGGGCCAGTCAGGGCTGTGGCTACCGAAGCTCTCGAAGCAGGTGAAGAGCCAGCTGCACATGCCCCCCCCCCCCAGCACTGTGAGGCCTGTGAGTGCTCTGTCTACTCCTCACTCCCTCTTCCAAACTCCCATCACAGAAAGAATACTACAGACACTTGTGCCCACCAAGGACAGAAACAGGGGCAGGTCAATGTGGGGCCTGGGGCTACAGTGGAGCCCCAATGTGGCTGCTCTCTCTAGCATCTGCCTCTGGCCTCACACACTTCAGAAAACAGTCAGACAGAGCCTCAGGGGATCTGTGGCCAGCAAGAGCCGTAGAGCACACATGGGGGCTTGACCCACACAGGCAATGCACTCTATGGATGCCGATGCCCAATAGGAGGCATGGCAACTTGCTAAAGGGAGCGGGTCCTCGGCTAGTGCTGCGGGGACAGCACAGTGGGCTGGGGGTTCTAACAGAGGCCTGCACACTGTGCTAAGATCATGGTAACTAGATCACCACAGAAGAAACTGAGATCCACCAAGGGGCCCTCCAGAGCCTCTGCTCACAGGCTGCAGAATCCTGGCAGGCCCTACCCATCCCCGTCCTGACAGAACAAACTCACTGCCATTCTTCATCCCAAGTCAGACCCAAACGCTTAGTAAACGTCACTAGTCAGAGCCAGGCAGATATCTGGGAGTCCAAAGTCAGGCTGGCCTACATAGCAAGTTCCTGGATAGCCAAAGCTACACAACAGAGAGACCCTGTCCCCAAAACAAAACAAAACAAAACAAAACAAAATAAAACACGAGTCTGCCTCAGAACCTGTCCCCAAGGCTTGCCCAGCTGTGTGCGTGCATGTGTAGGGATATCACCTCAAGTGCTGGCTGATGGCATTAGGTAAGCTCAGGGTCAGCGAAGGGTATGATGGGAACATTCAGCCTAACTTCCTGTAGTGCTCTGGCCACCCTCCAGGTGCCAACCATCTTACAGTGACCACCAGGTGGCCATGGGAGAGCACAGGGCCATGCTGCACATCCCTGGCTGTGCAGACAGTACCCACACAACAGGGCACGGCCCAGGCATGCTTCCAAGAGACAGAGGTGGGAAAGGCCAACAGAAGGAACCAGTGTCAGGAGGTGCAGCTGGCCTGACTCCAGTCAGGCTCTCAGCGTATCCATGGTCTCTTGTCAGTCAGGCTCTTAAACACACAGACACAACAGGGCGGATTATGAGGGAACACCCAAACTCAACAGTTGCCAACAGCAGTAAGGCCACTGCTCTCTGTGCCACTCAAAGGGCCACAGGCAGCTGGAAGAAGTCTGTGATGTCTCATACTGCCTCACACCTGAGCAGGCTTGAGGACGGGAAGGGGCTTAGAATTCTCATTGTGATGGGCACAGTCCACCCAGGTGGGAGACAGCTCTGCTGTGGGGACATCACAGGATGGCCTTCTGTTCAGAAGCTTGAGGAAATGCTGACCCTCCCTTCAAACTGAAGGGATGGTTCGCTCAGTGGCTGAAAGCACTAGCCATTCTTCCAGAGGGACTGGATTTGGTCCCCAGCGCCCACACAGCGACTCACAACCACCTGCAACTCTCGCTTCCGGGGACTGATGCCCTCTCTGGCCTTCATGGGTACCAGTTATGCACACAGCAGACATACATACATCTATGCAGGCGAACACCAAACATAAAAAATAAAAATTAAAAATACTTTGGGAGGGGGGCCTGAAAAATGGCTCAGTGGTTAAGAGCACCTGCTTTTGCAGAAGACTTGGGTTTGATTCTCAGCACCCACCCCGACTGTTCATAACCATCTGTAACTCAGGTTCCAGGGGATCCAATGCCCAATGCCGCCTTCTGACTTCTTTTGGCAACAGGAATGCACATGGTATGTGGACATATGTAAGGGCAAAACACTCAAATTAAAATGAGTCTTCAAAACTATACTTTTGGGGGTATTATTTTACTTTATACATTTGGACTGCCCCCCCCCCCCAAAAAAAAACAAACAAACCAGGGTTCCACTGTGTAGCCCCGGCTGTCCTGGCACTCACTGTGTGTCTTAGTTCCAGAGCATCGAGACTAAAGGTGTGACTGTTTAGTCGGCATGCATGTGTGCTGTGTCCTCCGCAGCTGGAGTTATAGACAGCTGTGAACCACATGTAGGTCCTGAGAATAGAATCTAGGTCTTCTGAAGTGTTTTTAACCACTAAGCCATCTCTCCAGGCCCCTCCCCAAATAGGAGGGAGGGAAAGAGGGAAGGGTGAGCCATATCTCTCTCAAGACCCTGTCTCACTGTAGACAAAGTGCTAGCTGTTTTCTTCCGGACTCTAGAGCCAGATACAAGGAGATGCCAACAACCTAGAGCAAAAGGGTTTACCTTGTCTTCCTGGTAGGACTTGCCACA